GAACAAAGACCTATTGATCCTCACCTATGGAGCTCTGGTTGCCCAACTGTGTAAGGATTATGAAAAAGATGAAGATGTGAACAAATACTTAGATAAAATGTGAGTAGAAGTCTCTTCTCTTCATAGAATACCCAGCTTCCTAACCCCATCTCCCTTTCCCTGCTCTAATGAGTTGCTCCCAGTTCACTAGCTCTTCTGATGATTCAGTAAGCTCCATCAAAAGCTGAATATCATCAATAACATCTGACATTGGAGCCAATAGCTTAGAATGGTAGGAAGGAACTATTTTCTATGAACATCAAAGTGGAGTGTTTTCTTATGTAAATTAGGAATTATTTTTTCTTGCTCCTAAGCAAAAGACATGGTAAAAATGAGATTATTCATTTAGTAATATGAGAGAACAACAAAGGTGATTCTTTTCAGTAGTTTGTTTTGCTAATTCCTTTCAAATAAATACTTGTTTATTTCAGTATATTATCAGTGAAAAGAATATCCAAAAAGCTAATAGTGGTTGCACACAAAGCAGACAAGATGATGGTAAAGTATAGGTTGAAGAAAGATTGTCTCTTTTGTAGATCATGTTTCTATTGCTTGAAGGTTTTTGCTATTAAATTGACTTTAAATATATTGAATAAAACGTTCATTTGTTCCTTTTTATTTTTTTTAATTAATTTTATTGAGAGACTAATGAGACAGTTTCAAAACAGGTCAGTAAGAGAGTTACAATAATTAATACATTGCATATTGTTGTCTTCATAGTAGTTATTTATAGTACAAGATGCAGACATGATATCTTGTCTAAACACTATTAGTACAAATCTTTCTTTTCACTGAACTAAGAGAAAGTAGCTGTATGTCTAACCTAACTAATTTGTATGTACAGATTTTTTTTCACTACAAAATGGTCCTTCATTTATATCCCCCATTTTTGTTTAGTTTTGTCAGAAATGGGTATTCTAATGAAGCTCATTTCTTGTTTTTTTTTTTAAGTGGGGGTTCAACCTGCTGAATTCTATCTTTTAATTTTCCTCAAATTAATTATATGATTATGAGATCATTTCCAAATCCTAAAATAACCTGTCAAAATTTTTCACCCTCCTAATGATGGACTCTGAAAAGACTAATATTAGAGTAATGACTGGGAAAAAATGCACAAGTTAGAAGATTTAGGGGAAATTTAGTCTAGCATTTTAGAACTTTTTAAAAATATTCATTGTATTTTCTGCTGAACTAAAGGAAGCAACAACAACGAAAGTTTGAAATATCTTTTCTACCTTGTTTTTCTTTCTTACATGTTCATTCACACTTGTCTTTCTTTTTTTTTAAATGTATTTAGTACAAGGTCTTCAGGGTCTTACTACACAGCTCAGACTTAGTGATTTTCCTGTTTTCAGCCTCCCAAGCACTGGGATTACAGGTGTGCGCCACCAAACCCAGTCTCAATTGCCATCTCAGTGCGCCCCGGGGACAGGGCTGCCATGGCATGCTGGGATTGAATCCTGGTCCCTGAATCTGCTTAAGCAGGCAGTTTAATCCACGAAGCTATGTGGCAGTCCAGTCAACCCTTCTCTTTTCAAAAAATATGTTAGTTTTAGTACACACCATTCTTTCATTTTTCATTTTAGTTTATTGTAGTTTTTGTTTTCATGGCTGGTCAAGAGCATTCACAAAAATGCAAAATGTCCAACTACTCACCCACTGGCTTTTTCAAAAATTCACTTTAAGGAGAAAAAAAGATGAAATAGCAATGAAACCATTTCAAAACAGGTTAGTAGGACAGTTACAATAATGAATACATTGCATGTTGTTGTCTTCATAGTAGTTATTCAGAGGACAATATGTAGACATGATATCTTGTCTAAACAATATTAGTGCAAAACTTTATTCTCAGTGAACTAAAAAAAATAGCTGTATATCTATCCTAGCTATCTTGTATATGCATATATATTTTTTTTCACAACAAAATGGTTATTTATTTATTTATTTATTTATTTATTTATTTTTTTTTACGGAACTGGGGATTGAACTCAGGCCCTTGCGCTTGCCAGGAAAGCGTTTATTCTACTGAGCCTTCTCTCCAGCCCCTGGTCCTTTATTTATATCACCCTTTTTTGTTTTGTTTTGTCGGAGGTGGGTGTTTCATTGCTGTTAGAGAAACTGTATTTGGAGAAGTTTCTATAGGACCTTTTCATACTTGATGCCAGCCCAAAGATTGTAGGTACTTGAATTCAGCAAAATAACCCAATAGAGTCCAATAGTCCATAAAAGTAGTGAGTTATCAGCACATATGGCAACTGTCAGAAGTTGTTGACTTGAGTTTTATAGCTCAGCATATTAATATAGCCTTACTTTTTATACCTCATGGTTACATTTTTCTGCTAGGTAGTTAAGACCAAGTTAAAGCAAGACCTATATAACTAGAAATATAACCTTTGCTATCTGACAAGGTCAGTCATATCCCCTCAGGATTTACCCTGTAACCACGTACAACACCTGAACTGTGTGGCAAGACCCTATTATCAAATAAATAAATATTAAAAGAAAAATCTTTCTCCATGAGATTCCTGGCTAGAATTATAAACCATTTTTTATTGAAACTTAAGTGAGCTAAAATGATTATTTCTATCCACTCAGAAATAGAAACAAATATCACTATGGATTTAGTGAATTAATTAGCACTCTGACATCAAATCCCTCTCCCATCAGTCTTTAACTTACCACTATAAATCCTGCCCATTTTTATTTATTTATTTATTTTTTTTGGCGGAACCAGGGATTGAACTCAGGCTCTTGCGCTTGCCAGGAAAGCGCTTATTCCACTGAGCCATCTCCCTGGCCCCAATCCTGCCCATTTTTAGATCCACTATTAAAGTTGTAGTCCCTCAACTGGATTACTAATTTTTCTGAGACAGAGACCTAAACATTTCTTTGTGTCTGTCCCAGGAATTCATTTCCAAAGGGTCTTATTTAAGGAGTCTGCTCAGTAATCATGACCACATTCTTATAGTTGTGTTCTCACATCTCTGTAAAAAGCTTTCAAAATAGTATGGCAGATACTGCTAGGCCTACTTGTTTGCAGTGAAATTAATAACTGAGATAAATACTTTCCCCCAATTCTGTCACTACATTCTTTTGGGAATGAAAAATGAGATTTTTGACCTTATTTTTCCCCAACACACATGCAATGCATATTAGAGACTGTCCCGAACCAGCGGGTCAGTCAACGAAGGTCACCTGGGGGAGGAGCGGGGAATTGAGGAGGGGACAAGGGACAGGAGACTCGAGAAATGGAGACAAGACAGGATTCTGATCAAGTCTTGTTTATTTAGGGGAGGTTCTGGGTATATATAGGGGGTGATGGAATGAGGAAGTCTCAGCTCTTGGGGTCAGCAGGTATCTAGGCAACGGGAAGGTCCAACCATTGGGGCATAGCACGTGATTCACGGAGAATGGGCAAGGTGAGAAGGGCCATAAACTTGACTCAGCAGGGGAATAGAATGGATACCGGTTAATGATCTCCAACAAGAGACCTAATATCTTTACTGTCAACACAGTGTATTTCTGCTTACTTCTTTCCTAATGCAGAACCTACCTAGAAATACTTGTGTCCTTATGCGACGGGAACATGTGCACTCAGATACCATGCCTACTCATAGCAGAAGGGTTAGACTCCTGCTGTTTCTGTCAGTAGCTAATGTTGAGAAATATTACAGGTGCCCACCTTCTTAAAAGTTTACTTGACACTCTCATCTTTTGGTTGTTTTCCACCAGACCCCACGCAGATTCCTGTGCTTATGGAGGACTCGTTTACTGGATGCGTTGATCTCTCTGTCAGAGCTTGGTAGGGCAAAGATGCCAAAGACTTCTACAATCTGAGGCACAGGATCTCCGCATAAATCCTGAGGGGATTTCACTGACCTTATCAGACCCAAAAGCTAAAACTCTTGTTGCATAGGTCCTGCTTTACCTTGCTCTTAGCGATCCAGCAGAAAAGTATAAAAAAGAAATATAAGAAGTAAAGCCATGCTGTTATGTTGAGCTATAGGGGACTCAGGTCAACAATTTCTGACATTGCCAGTCAAGCAGAAGACCCAATACTATTATGGGCTACTGGATTCTTTTAGAATATTTTCCTGAGTTTACACACCTATAATATTGAAATAACAGAACTTAACAAAAAAAGAGAATAAAGATGAATGTCCATTTTGTATCTGTGTATTCAAAGTGGTTAGGATAGATATATAGTTACATTCTCTTGATGAATAGATTGATTTGTTCTATTGGTGTTTGTAAATAGGATATCATGTCCGCATCTTGTACAGCAATTAACCACTAGGAAGAATGTATGCAATGTGTTAATTATTGAAACTGTCGTACCAATTTGATTTGAAACTGTCTCATTGCTGTTTGTTTATCAATAAAATTATGGGGGAAAAAGAGATGCCAAAGGACACTGACCTAACATGTGCAGACCACTGTATCCTTCATCCACAGGGGATATGGCATTGGAACACGGCTGGTGGAAGACTTTTTGGCTCGGTCCAGTGTAAGAAGATGCCATAGTTATTCAGAAGTTACACATATAATTGCTGAGGTAAATGCATTTTTAGCTTTGTCCTTATGCTTTTTCTAATTTTTCCTGAATATGGTGTTTGGCTGCTCCAATTAGACACACTCCATCTGTGTAAGTTGTTAAGTGCTGAGACAGGGTTTCTGATGTAAAAGTATTTTATTTCAGCACATGGATAAAGCTATTTTGAACAGAAAGTGGAATGCTTCTAGGCCTTTTCACACCTATTGATGTTCCTTACTACATGGTATATGTGGTGTGTCTGTGTCACACTAGGAAAAGTGTTACAGGAAGGTAAACAGGAGAGTATAACTGGAGACATGTAACATGCTCACTCCACATCAGTTTCTCATGTAATCATTTTATTATGCAGAAGAAGAGTCTTCTGCACCATCAGGGAATATTGCTGTAGTCATTTCATGAAAAAAAAAATAGCTTCCTGTATGTACATGAGTTTTTGGATCTTTCACAGCACTGATATGAGTCACCTTGGACTAGCTCAACTTAATTAGATGTAACATAGTGAAATGCATCCTTAGTCAGCATTCCTTTATTCTTCAGGCCTATGATGATTAATTTAATGCTTTTAATATATGAGACACTCAGAAAGTGTGCATGGCTCTGAGATATTTAGTAGGTCTCTGAATGCTGCCCTTAGGTACACAGAGTTTGATAATCGTTCTCTTGATCTTTAATATTTTTATTAATATTTATGGCTAATTGACTTCACAAGCATGGCTCTAATACTTCTCATAGTGCTTTGTGATTCTAATTGTAGTTATTTATATTTTGTCTTTTGTCCTTACAATTAACACTCTGAAGAATGCAGAATGGGAGTTTTTATTCCCTTTGCAGATAAGAAAATTGAATCCCAAAAAGAATATAATGCAAATAAGTAATAATTTCTATGAAAAATTATAATTCATAACCATAATCCAAAGAAAAGATTTTTTGCACTAGCTAGTGTTCTTACTGTCAATATTTCATCTTTAGTGAAACATAGGTTTAGAATTGAAATCCAAGTCTCTTTCAGCCTTAGTATAGTGTGCTTACTATTACCATTAAATAGATTTTTTCAAATTAGAAAATATTTTTAATATTTATTAGTACCTTCTTTCTGTATATGAGATTACATTCATCATAGGAAGTCAGTACAAATACATAGCACATCTCATATTTTATTTCTCTTTCCCTTCTTGTTCCTCCCCCTGTATCTGTAGATTCTAATTTGCAGATGATTGATCAATCATCTTGCATTTTATTCTTTAAATTATTTATACTTTGGGTTTCTTATATAAGAAAAAACATCCAATATTAAACCTTGCGTGTCTGATTATTTTCATTTGACTTTATAGTCTCAAGGTGCATCCATTTTTCTACAAATAGCTCCAATTTATCATTCATAGTAGTTGAGCAGTACTTCAGTGTGTATATATACATATAAATTCTTCTTTAACCACATATCTAGTGGTGAATATATAGGTAGCTTCCAAATTTTAGCCATTGTAAGCTTTGGTGCTTTGAACATAGGTGTGCATGTGTCGCTGAAATATGAAGTCTTTCATTCTTTTAGAAAGAGACCAATGGGAAATCGCTGAATCAAATAGAACTTCTAATTTTAGTTTTTGAGGAATCTCCATACTGATTTCCATAGTGGGATGCTAGTTTACATTGCTGCCAACAATGTGTAAGTGTTTCTTTTCTCTGCAACCACACTAGCATTTATTATAATTTGAGTTCTTGATGACAATCATTCTTTTTGGAATAAGAGAATTTCACCGTTCTTTTTCAAGTGCTTTCTTCTCATGGCCAAACATGTTGAACATTTTCATTATGCATCTATTTTCATTTGCACATCTTCTGCTAAAAAGTTTTATTCATTTCAATTGTGCTTTCTGATTGGAAAGCACAATTGGAGAAGCATATTTGGAGAAGCTGATTGGAAAGCATATTTAGAGAAGTCTAATTTTTTTGATTTTTTATATATTGTATGTGTTTGCACTTCATCTGAGAAGTAGCTGACAAAATTTTTACTATCTTGTAGTTCATCTTTTTGCTCTATTGTTTGTTTCCTTTGCTGTGCAGAAGCTTTTTAATCCAATTTGTTGATCCCTGATGTCACTGCTTGTGCAGGTGGAGTTCTGTTACTAAAATCCTAAGCTGTTTGTGTATTTTCTCAACTATTAAGTATTTTATCTTCCAGGAGTTTGCATCTGTTTTAATATCCAGGTCTTTGATACATTTTGATTTTACTTTAGTACATGGTAAGAGGTAGAAATTTACATTCAACCTTCTGCCTATGCATAATCACTTTTCAGTCCTGTTTATCAACAGGCTACTTTTCCTCTAGCAAATGTTTTTGGAGCCTTTGTCAAATGTCACATGCCTGAATGTGCCTGGCATTGTTTCTTAAGCATAATTTTAGTGTATTTTCCACATATATTGGCAGAACTTAAATAAGACCCTAAAGCAATGGTTTGAAAAGTAAAACAACTTTTCACTAAACCCATTCTATGGCCAGATCTACAGGATTACTCTCCACTCACATAAATGTAAATGGCTATGTTTGTTGTTTTCTACTTGGTAGCTCCCTTCAGCTGTGTGTGTGTGTGTGTGTGTGTGTGTGTGTGTGTTACTGGAGATTGAACTCAAGGCTTCATCCTCAGACCTAAATCACCTCAGACTACACCTGAACTTGTTGACCCTCTTGCCTCAGTTCCCTGTGTTCTGGGTTACAGACCTGTTCAGCACACCTGGATTCACTTGCCATTTTGCTTAGTAAGGTCCAGTCTTCCAGCAATGGAAGATTAATTAGGCAGATTGATTAGGCATGACTATTCCTTCACATTTGTCCCACCCATCCCATTGTTGGCATAGATCTATGTAATAATAAATATGTCTTTAAAAACTAAGCCTGCAGATACTTAAGCAGAACAATGGTTCATTGTCTGAAAATCATAGCATGGAAAATGAAACCTGACTCAGATAATAAAAGTTGCTATTTAGTCTTTGGTATCTAAAAAAAACCAAAAATTTGAAAAGTCACTTGGGATCTTCTTTCTAAAGATATGTTACATTATAATATATTCCTCTGAATCTATTTATATATGTGTAATACAAATATTTTTCAACTACATATAAATTCAGCTATGTTTAAAAATAGATGCTTAAGATTAAAAAAATCTGTAAACCAGGTTTAAGCAGAGCCCTGAATGGTCTCATTACTGAGCATTTGGAGGTACTTTTTGACTTACTTTGGAAAATTAGATCTCATATCATTGGACCAGAGAACTGGCTGTTGACCTAACTGGGCATTGTCTAGAGTGGTGTGATGATGCCTGCAGATTCTCTGATTCCCTCACTGTTCTTCTTGGCTCTCAGTACAGACTCCAATATTTGAAAGGTTTCTGTGAGTCTGGAAAAGATAATTCCACACATTTATTTTAATCAGAGAAACATAGGAGACTAGTTTTCTCTAGTAAGGAAAAAAGTCAGTTTATAAAATATGTGTTCAAAGATAGTAGGAGGAAGATAATGATAAAGACCAGAGCAGAAATCAACAAAATTGAGATAAAATAGAAAGGATCAATGAGTCAAAGAGTTTATCTTGCAAGGGAAAAATATAAGCAAATTCTAACCAATCTAACCATAAAAAAAGAAAGAAAAGATCCAAACCAAAGCAATTATAAATGAAAAAGGTAAAATTACATTGAGTACAGCGAAAATCAAGAAAATTATTAAAAATCAAGAAAATTATTAATGATTTTTTAAACCAATAATTTGGAGAACTCAAAAAAGGACATATTTTTAGTATATATTAATTACCAAAACTGAACCAAGAATATTTTAAAATCCTGAATAATTCAATAACAGGCAATGATATTAAAGCAATAATAATAATAATCCTACCAATAGGAAAGCCCAAGTCTAGATAGATGTAATGCTGAGTTTTGCAAAAACTTTATAGTAAACCAGGGAGATAGCTCAGTAGAATAAATGCTTGCCTGAGAAGTGCAAAGTCCTGAGTTCAATCCACAGTATATATATATATATATATATATATATATATGATCTAGCATTAGTGTTCCTCAAGCTTTTGTTTTGTTTTTAATCTTTTTGAGGCAGAGTTTCACTATGCAGGTTGACCTTCAACTGACTTTATAGCCCAAGCTGGCATAGATGCCATAGCAGTCCTCCTGCCTCAGCCTCCTAAGTGCTAGAATTGTAGGCATGCACCATAGTGCCTGGTTCCTCAAACTTTAAAAAAAAAAATTGAAAAGGATTTCTCCCAAAATCATTCCTAGAAACTAGCATTCCCTGATGCCAAATGTAGACAAGGATTCAGACAAAATAGAACTATAAACCAATCTTTTTAATGAATATAAATGCAAAACCCACAAGATATTGGCAAATAGAATACAACAAATCATCAAAATGATCATACATTGTGAGCAAGTAGGTTTCACTCCAAGGATGCAATGATGCTTCACCATGCACAAAGCAATAATTAGGTCACATAAAGAAAAGAAAGAACAAAAATCTTACAATCATCTTAATAGACTCAGGAAAAGTCTTTAACACAATTAAATACCCCTCCTTTCATAACAAAAACATTGAAGAAATAGGTATGGATAAAAGCCATTTATAACAAACCTATAGCCAATATCATATAAATAGGAAAACACTAAATACTTTCTCTCTAAATTCAGGGAAAAGACAAGGATGTCCACTGTCACCAGTCTTGTTCAACTTGCTATTCAAACATTAGCACAAGCAATTAAGCAAGAAGAAGAAATAAAAGGGTATATATAGGAAAGGAAAAGTCAAATTATCATTATTTGCAGACAACATGGACCTCTCCATAGAAAACTCAAAAACTCCACCAAAAGACTCCTAGAATGAATGACCAAATTCTGCAATGTAACAGCATCTAAAATTGACATGCAAAAAAAGTAG